CTTTTATTACATTATTCTCAACATATAATTCCCAGATTTTAACTAATATCTGTTGCAACTTTAAAATGTAAGTTTCTTGGGGCACCTCGGTGGCTCAGTTGGTTAAGCATTCTACTCTTGATTTTGGCTCAAGTCATGGTTACATGGTTCAGGAGATCAAGCCCAGCGTCGGACTCCATGTTGACAGCACAGAGCCTGTTTGGGATTCTCCTTCCCTCTCTCTCTGCCTCTTCCCACCTCACTCACACTTTCTCTCTCCCAAAATAAATAAATAAATAAAATAAAAATAAATTAAATGCATTTAACTTTTCTCATTCCCATCTAGGACTTAGATATGCAATCACTAAGAAAAGGGAAGGAGGTGGATGTGGCTATGTTTTCAGCTTCAGCTTTACAGATCATCTGACCATCAAGAATATTATTGTTCCACACAGCATTTAGATAACATTTTGTTTTAGTTCAGTCACACTGAGATGGTTTTCCCCAGACATTTTGGTGATTTTTAAAAGGTTTTCTTTACACTGTCCTATTAACCTAAATACATAGTAATAAGCACACTAATTAATGTTTGATTGATATTTAGCTCTATTACCTCATCAAAAAGAATTTTCATTTGTCTATGGTATTTCTTTCAGAGTACCTGCATATTTATTTCTTCAGATATTTTTATCTTGTTCCTATCAGTGGGGGATTCAGAAGTATCTGTGGCTCACAAGGGGGACTCTCCTTATGTCAAAAGCAGAGCTGTCCAAGCTCACAGATACAGAGAAGAGTTAGGTGGTGAGCAAAGGTGGGGGATAGGAATGAGCAAAATGTGGGAAGGGGCTCAAAGGGTACAAACTTCCCATTAAGTAAGTCAAAGTGAGGGGCGCCTGGGTGGCTTAGTCGGTTGAGCATCCGACTTGCGCTTAGGTCATGATCTCACGGTTCATGGGTTCGAGCCCCGCATCGGGCTCTCTGCTGACTCCCAGCTCAGAGCCTGGAGCCTGTTTCAGTCTGTGACTCCCTCTCTCTCTGACCCTCCCCTGCTCGCGCTGTCTCTCTCTCTCCTAGAAATAAAAAAATAAATAAATAAATAAATAGTATATACATGTGGTAGAAATGCATTTGTGTTAAATGTACGTATGCGTTTGTGCGTGTGTGCACCGTGTATACTCACATTCACAACACACACACATATACGATAAAGATACTTCGTATTTTGAGAGAGAGAGAGCGCGGGGGAGGGGCAGAGAGGGCGCGTGCGCAGGAGAGAGTCACAAGCGGGCTCCACCTGTCAGCACAGAGCCCCGTGCGGGACTCGAACTCACCAACCAGGAGATAACGGCCTGAGCTGAAATCAAGAATCGGAACCTTAACCGACTAAGCCACCCGGCTGCCCCAAAAAGATGCTTTTTAAGGGAAGTTTTTTTTTGTTAAAGACCTGATGCCCAGGCTACAACCAATCAAATCATCATGCTCACTTCAGGGCGGGACGAGCCTCAGTGGAAGCTCCTGTGACCCCAGTCCCGCCCGGTCTACCCCTCCCCTTCTCCCCTCCAGAGTCAAAGCGCTGTTTTCCGAAGTGGCTCCAATCTCCTGGAGGCTGGGAGAGCCCCGTGTTGGGCTTACAGCAAAGGAGCCGAGCAGTCTGCTGGGGTCAGGAGTCCGCGCCATCTCTGCGCCTGGCCCGCCTGAGTGAGCCCCTCGGGGTCCCCAGAAGGTTCTGTCTCTGTTGATTGCGTCTTGCTTCATGAAAAGGCGTAAGTAAGGGGGGGTCACAGCCAGAAGGGGACACCGAGCCGCCTTATTTGCAGGACAAGCGAGTCCAGAAGTGTTCAGGGACCAGAATGGCACTGAGTACCTCAATGAGCCCAACATGTAGGGAGGCTTGGGGCGAAGAGCTGCCTGCCTCCCACCCGCTGGGGCCCCTCCCAGCTGGGCCACCGGCCAGGACTCCCCTGGGTTTCCGTGGCTGAGATCCATGTTATAAAAGACAGATTAACGAAGTCTGATAGTGTGTGTGCCCCATGTGCATGTAGGAGAAACCCGGGAAAACAGAGGGAAACTCCCCGGACGGGCCTGGGCCACCACTTAAACACCGTCCCCAGCCCAAGGCGGAAGGAAGCTGTAGGGGGGAGGGGGAGGGTCGCCGGGAAGGCCCCGTGAACAAGGCCAGGTTTGTCATGCAGATGAAGTCCGGGCCTTCCCGCCCCCGATTCAGTCCCCTTCCTCTCCGGGGTCACAAATGGAGATTTCCCTTGTAAATGTAAATTTCGTCTCTGTTTCCAGAACTTCTCAGGGGCCCCCTTGTTACTTAAAAACAAATCAGCTCAAAATAATCCTTTTGCCAAAGAAAAGCTACCCCAGGCTGGCGTATTCAGCTACCCCTCAGTGCCTTCCTGTGACCGGAGCCATGGCCCCCACCGGTCACCACGGCTGCTCCCCCATCTCGGCGGCCCCAGGCTGGCGGACGTGAGGCTCAGGCTGTGTGCGGTGGGAAGGAAGGACGGCAGAACGCGCGGAGATCTGGATTCAGGCCTCGAGGCCCTGCGTTTGGGTCGTGGGGCCGGAGTCTCTGACCCCCACCCGCTGCAGCTGTGACGTAGGATACAGTTTCCAGGCCGCTCGTGGCTGCGCGTGTGAGCACGGGGTTCACAGCGGCGGATCCCAACCCGGCTGCACTTGACTTCTACCAGTCCCGCCTGCAGAGATGACCCCGTGGGCCCGGGAGCCACGGGAGCCCCAGGACGTCCCAGAGTGACTCCAGCGCGCCCTGGACTCCTGGGAACTTGCTAGAAATGTAAATAATAATAATAATAATAATAATTCTTCTTCTTCTTCTTCTTCTTCTTCTTCTTCTTCTTCTTCTTCTTCTTCTTCTTCTTCTTCTTCCTCTTCTTCTAACAAGCAAGTAGGGACTATATTCAACCTAAAATTTTCTGCCAAGGAAGTAACTCACAAAATAAAAAATGTCTTTTGGAACAGGAGGTATTTGCCAACAGTAGTTACATGATAAAGGATTAATATAAATATATATAAGAAACACACTACTCAAAGCAAAGAATAATAGTAACAAGCTAAATAAAAATGGATACAGCCCTAAATAGACATTTTTGTTAAAAAAATTATATATACAAATGGCCAGAAATACTTGAAAAGATCTTCAACACCATGATTGTGAGGGAAATGCACATCAAAATCACTTTGGGGTATCACCTCGCACCTGTAGCTATGTCTGTTATCAATAATTCAGAGCACAAAGCGTGTGGGAGAAAATGAGGGTAAAGAGGAAAAGGGTCCCTGAGTGGGATGCAAACAGCTACAGCCAGTATGAAAAAAGTACAGAACTCCCCCAAAAAACTTAGAAAAGAATCAATGGAGGGGCGCCTGGGTGGCTGTCAGTTAAGCGTCCGACTCTCGCTTAGGTCATGATCTCACGGTTCGTGGGTTCGAGCCCCACGTCGGGCTCTGTGCTGACAGCCAGCTTAGAGCCTGGAGCCTGTTTCAGTCTGTGACTCCCTCTCTCTCTGACCCTCCCCTGCTCACGCTGTCTCTCTCTCTCTCTCTCTCCTAGAAAAAAAAAAAAAAATCATGGAATCCAACACACACTTGGGTATCCATCCAAAGGCCTTGAAATTGGTGTCTGAAATCAGTATGTGTGTGTCCCTGCTCTGCACCTGGAAACGCCATTCACCCCGGCTGTGGTGAAGAAACGAGCCAAGTATTGTGTGTTGTTCATTCTACATGTGCTTAATATACTAACGTGTACATTTATTTCACCGCCATCAATATCTAATGTTAGTTGGCTTCTAATGTCACGTTGTGCCCAGGAGACACACGAGGGAAATACCCACTTGTGGGCATAATGGTCTTCACTTTCTCTTTTTGTTTCCTTTGTGTGTTGTGTGTGTGTGTGTGTGTGTACATTTTTAAATAGAAGTAGAGTTAACCTACAGTGTGATGTTCGTTTTGGCTGTACAACACAGTGATTCAAAAACTCGACACATTCTCTACATTACCCCAAGGTAAGTGGAGTCAGCAGCTACCACCAAACAACGATACGGGGGTCTTGCCGACTGTATGCCTCATGTTGCCCTTTTCATCTCGATGGTTTACTTACTTTGTAACTGGAAGTTGGTACCTTAAAAATATTTTTCAGGCTTATCTGTTTATTTTGAGAAAGAACGTGAGCAGGGGAGACGCAGAGGGAGAGAGAGAATCCCAAGTGGGGTCTGCACCGTTAGCACGAAGGCCAACGTGGGGCTCGAACCCACAAACCGTGAGATCATGACCTGAGCTGAAATCAACGGCCAGACACTTAACCGACTGAGCCACCCAGGCGCCCCTGTACCGCGTAATCTTTTTTTTAATCCATTCCACCACCCCCACTCACCTCTCCTCTGTCAACTACCAGTATGTTCTCTGTATTTAAGAGTTTGGTGTTTGTCTTTTTTTTCCCCATGCTCATTTGTTTTGTTTCTTAAAACACCTATCAGTGAAATCATATCACATTTGTCTTTCTCTGACTTTTCCCCCTTGGCGTTACACAGTCCGGCTCCATCCACATTGCTGCACGTGGCCAGACGTCATTTGTTTTGGAGGAATAATATTCTGCTGTGTCTGCATGTACATACACACCACGTCTTTATCATTCGTCAACTGACAGGCACTTGGGCTCCTCCCGGATCCTGGCCATTGTTACCAGGGCTGCCATGAACATAGGGGGCATGTATCTTTTTGAATTCGCGGTTTTTTTGCCTTGGGGTAAATACCCAGTAGTGGAATTACAGGATCCTACGATAATTCTATTTTTAATTTTTTTGAGAACCCCCCACGCTATCCTCCACAGGGATCACACCAACCCTTATTCCCGCCCACCATGCGTGGGGGTTTCCTTTTCTCCAAGTCCTTCCCAACACGCGTTATCTCGTTTCTAGATTTTAGCTACAGCCTCCACTCTTTAATAATCACATTCCAGGGGCGCCTGGGTGGCTTAGTCGGTTGAGCGTCCGACTTTCGCTTGGGTCATGATCTCGCGGTTCGTGGGTTCGAGCCCCGCGTCGGGCTCTGTGCTGACTGCCAGCTCAGAGCCTGGATCCTGTTTCAGTCTGTGTCTCCCTCTCTCTCTGACCCTCCCCTGCTCACGCTGTCTCTCTCTCTCTCTCTCTCTCCTAGAAATAAACAAAAATAAAACATTAATAATCACATTCCAGTATTAGTGAAATGATGTTTGGGCAATAAGCACTGACTATATATACATATAAATCATTTTGTAACCATATATCTGAATTATGTTATTAATACATGTATCTATTCTAAGTCACATAGTACAAAGGTGATACAATGATATGCAGGGTATGCAGGTAAGGATTCAGTTACTTTACAAATGTAAACTCTCGAGCTCTACCCTGGACCCGCAGAGTTAGAGCCTAGTGCAATCTGTCTTACCCGCACCCCCCTGGTGATTCTGTGGTGCTGAAATGTGGGGGTCACCGTTTCAGAACAATGGCCCTGCACCCCGACTGCTCATTGGAGCAGAGAGGGAAACATTTGTTTGAAAGCAGTGCTAATGTCTGGACTTCAGAGCGTGAGCCCCATCCTATTGCTTGTAGTGAAGTCCAGTTGTTCGTGGTTTTTAGAGTTCTCCGGGGTATGAGGCAGGCAGGGGGCTCAGTCGGTTAAGCATCCAACTCTTGGTTTTGGCTCAGATCATGATCTCACGTCCCTGAGTTCGAGCCCCACGTCAGGCCCCACACTGAGCATGGAGCCTGCTTGGGATTCTCTCTCTCTGCCTTTCCCTCCCTCTCCTTCTCTCTCAAAATAAATAAATATTTTTTTAAAGTTCTCCAGGGTGTCTTAATGCATTCAGGTTTGAAAACCATATTTTTAAAAAGAAAGATAGTTTCAAGCAGAAGCCTAAAGAAAACACACATGCATGCACACACATGCACACACAGACACAGACGCACGCACAAACGTACGCTCATGCACACACACAGAAGGACACGTGTGCACAGACACGTGTGCCTGCACACTTAACACACGCACACATGTGTGCGCACATCACCTGCACAGTTACATGTGCGTGCACACATGCATGCACATCACCTGCACACTTACACATCCACACACCTGCATGCACGCACACCACCTGCACACTTACACACACATGCACACACACTGCCTGCACACTTACACGTGCACACGCATGCACACACACGCGCACAGCGGAAGCCCAGGCTGCCTCTCCAGCCTGCTGGGAACTGTTGCGGAATCTATGATGTTTACAACACAACTGCACTCCTCTCTCTCAACAGTGACCTTTGGTTAGGTTGAATCATTTCCTTTGGAAATAAAAGAAAATGCCTCCATTGTTTTTGACAAGTTCCCTTCATCTTTGAAAAAATTTCCCAAACAACTCTTCTCCCATTTGGAAGCCTCAGGCACCTCCCGTTGGGTCTGGGCTGGCCCTAGGGACGGCCGCATCTGCTGCTGGAAGACTCGTGGTCTCCCGGGGGCGCTGTCACCCGGGAGCTGAGGGCCCCTCAGGCCTTCGGCTGCAGCCCCCGTTACGCGGCGGGGGAGCCGAGACCCGGACAGCCCGCAAGCGCAGTGTTGGGCGGGCAGAGGACGGGTCGCGAGCGGGGAGCGGGACCAGCCTCTTGCTGTCTCCTTCGCCTCCGACTTTGCCAGAAGACGGGGCGTGGGCGGCGAGCGTCTCGTGCCCCCACTCGGCTGGCTTGTGCGCTGGCAAGTGCAGGGCACCCTGAGCCAATCCTGCCTCGGCTGGCGTCAGCTCTGAGAACTCTGACAAGTCCCCGAACCGCTCTGTGCCTCAGTCTCCTCCTCTGTAAAACGGGGGCTCACAGAACTCTTGTGAGGACTGTGGGTTAATTCACATAAGGTGCATCGAGCAGCGCCTGGACGTGACAGTGAGGGTCGCTCTTACGTCCCCGAGGGCTGGTGCACTGACCGCCCCGGGAGACTGTGTGCTGTGTCCGGGGGGCTGGTCCCTCTCACCTACGTCGTGGGCAGTGCTGACGCTGTCCCGTCTACAAATGTGCAGGACACATGCTGGGGGCCTGGCAGCAGCGGGAGGCTCTCTAGATCAGCGATTTCTGAGCGTTTTTGCTCAAAGTGCAGCCATTCACCAGGCCAGTCATCAAACCATGGTGACAGCCTGCCGGGTGGTTACTTTGGGGCAGTGAGAATCAGCACCTTCTGGGGTCAGCAAGGGGCCCTGGCAGCCACCCCCAGACACTGGGACGGGGGTGTAGCCCCTGTGACACGGGGGCTGGCACCTCTCCGGCCCCTCCAGTGCTGCGACCTTGCCTCACTTGACCCTCTCTGTTCCGGGAAGTCAGTGGGGGATGGGGACGCTGACTCGCAGAAAGCCGTGCCCAGGATCGTGGTGAGTACACGGCTGAGACACCTGGGGGTGTCCCCCCACCCCGATGGCACCCCGCTTCCTGCACCTGGCTCTCACTCCCCTCCGCCCTCCCTCCCCAGCCAGCCACCCTGGTTTCCCCTCCCTCCCGCCCCTCCCACCTCCACCCTGGCCTCTCTGCAGCCTAGATCTGTGGACAGGGTGACCCGACCCCGACAACGGGGACCCGCGGTGGCTCGTGAGGAACCACCTTCGGGATCCTGAACAAACACTTTGCAGGACTTCCGTGGATGAAAATGCCATTCTCAGAGGGAATGCCTGAATCAAGGATGGTGGAAATTTCTGGTGTGTTGGCAGCCCGGCCGGAAGGTGGCTGGTGCCAGGCCGGCCCCGGGAAGCGAGGGCCGCTGGGCAGGGGGCGGCTCTGTCCCTCCACCGGGGACGATGGGGCCGAAGGTTGGATCGGGCGCCCT